ATATATGAAATTTTATTATGCAACAGAAAATTCAAATAAAAATTGGTTCAAAAATGTTGAAACAAAACATTATGACTTTCCTGAATAGAAACATTTCATTTTGGTTTGTCAAACTAGATCTAAATGTTTTGTTTCAGCATTTATCTGTGACCCCTGAGCTGCCGTGGTAACTCATGGAAATTCTGGTTTTGGTTCCCTCACACACTATTCTCATCTACCAGCAAAATTTCCTGAGCGGACTGCATTTCCCACAATGCAGCAGAAAACCCCCTTCCCTTTCTGCTACCCTCCCACCCCCCTTGTTGAACTGATATTGGGAAACCCAGCTCATTGAGAATGGGGGCATGAGTATCCAAACCTCATTTCCCATTATGCACTGCAACAGTTCCAGCAAAAACAGACCAACGTCTAATGCAGGGGTTCCCAAACTTGGTTCCCACCACTTCCTACAGCTCCCATTGGCTGGAAAAAGTGACCGTGGCCACTGCAAGCTGCGAATGGCTGCACCTGCGGATGCTCAGATTAACAAAGCACCTCACAGCCCACCAGGGACTTACCCTGAACAAGCTGCAAACCAAGGTCTAATGGATACAAAACAAAAACATTTTGATTTAGTTTGACAAACTGTACTATTTTGATTCATGTTGACCAGCTCCCAAACTAAATACTTCATTTTGATTTTTTCCCACAATGGAAAATCTAAATGTTTTTGGGAATATGAGATTTCCCTGCAGAAAACATCTATTTTGCAGAAACTGCATTTTTCACTGAAAAGACTGCAATGGAAAATTCCTAACCAGCTCTAATACGTTCACTAAATTCATGATCATACTGGCAAAGAAATATGCCAGTTTACTGTGATTTTAAAGCAGAAACACCCACTGAAATAATTTCCGTCTACAAATGTTCTACCTATTCCTGTTTCAACTACGGTCACGTCATGTTCAGACACCAGCTCTCTGTATACCAATAGGGTCTCCACTATGTGTGCAAATTTTACGATCAGCTTTTAAGAAATCACTCCAAAATACACACTTTCAACCATTGTGCTCAAAAGATACTATTTGAATATGCAAACATTGTACTTGTGCATGCAGATACTAATTTTTCATGTGCAACAAGCATTTTTGGCCATTTAACTATGTATTTATATTCCTCCTCCCAATCACTGTAGTGTCTAGGCTTCTCACAAGTATTCATGAATTTATGTTCGACTCCCATTTGAGGTAGGGATGTATTTATATACGTTTAAAAAATGATGAACTGAGATAAAAAGAGACGAAGAGATTTGTGCACCCAGGAAGTATGAGACAGAAGAAGGAACTGAATCCCAAATCTCACTGGGGTATATCTGTCGTGTACCTTAACTACAGACCACTCTTACCTCACCACAACTTAGCTGAGTTTTGAAAATTCAGCCCTTAAAAACTAAAGAAATGTGCCATAACTGGCAATAATTTTGAATGACACTGCTTTTATGAGCACCAATTTAAGTTTTCCTGTCTTATTTATTTATTTTAAGATGTCTCTTTGCCACAAACCACCTAACAGTTTAGAGGGGAAAAAGAATGAAATGAGTATTTGTTAAAAAACATCAGATTGATAAATCTGGAAAAAGGTCTCCCTATATCCACAAAAACAGGCTAGAGAAAGGCACTGGAGGTATCCACCAAAGAGTAAGATCAAAACCGAAGCTGCATATAGAGTAGATCTTTCCTTCTCGCATCAGCCCAAAAGCTCTGAACTGTGTGCGTGCACACACACTTGGAGGAGATGGAGAAATGGGGAGCACCCAAGATAGAAAGAGAGAAATCAGCTTGGTAGAGACTTTACCTATACAGTCTGAATATCTCTGTTGTGCCCTTCCAAACTGTAATTCTCTGCAGTCAAACCCAGTACTTAATTCTGTCTCAGAAAAATCTTATATTTGTTAAGCATAAGTACTGCAAAATATATAATGTTCATTGAACTCAGCTAACTAAGCTTGATATGTGAGGAGCAGAGTGAAATATAGTGTTAGATTTCCCCATTTTTTAATTAAAAGCAGAATATTTTCACTATTTCTTGTGTTACTTTAATGGACTGTAAGATGTTTATGATTATTTTTACAAATAATCTATATTGTTATTTCTGTGTCTTACACTAGAGTTCTCTTTTTGCCTGGAAGTATTTCAACTTGGATTGAAATGGTAGAAACTGAATAAATACAAACAAAAATAATAATAAAGCAAGTTTTGATAATATACATAGGAATTGCCATTGTAGATCAGACCCATGATCTAGTCCAGTAAACTGTCTCCAACAATGGCCAGAACCAGATGCCTCTGACAAGGTACAAAAATCCACACTACATAAGTGAGGTATAACTTGCCCCCATGAAGTCTCATCCTAAAAGTTAGATATTGGCTTAAACCAGGGTTTAAATTCATCCGGAGCTGTTCAGAGCTTTTCAAATCCGCAAGGCAGAAGCTGCAAGCTCTGGGAAATACTTCTATGAGAATTTAAACCCTGGCTTAACCCCTGAAGCATGAGATTTTAACATAGACAAACTTCGGAAGTAAGATTAACGCTACATATCTTTATTATCCATATAAACATCCAATCCCTCTGTGAATCTTACTAAATTTATGTTCTGTTGACATCCTGTGAGAGTGAGTTTCACAGTCCAATTATGTGTGAGCAGAAAATATTTTTTCCATTTACAATTTTGATTTTGCAACCTTTCAGTTTAATTTTGAAGGTCCCCATGCTCTTGCACTGAGACAATGACAAGATTATAACCTGTTTCCCTTTGAGCAGGGGTGAAAGTAAGCTGGTTCAGTACCAGTAAACAGTGGCCCCCGGTACCGACCCAAACGCAGGTGATGTTAAAGCGCTGCCGTGGCAAAGGACCCAGCTTAAAGCGCTGCCGGGGGGGCACTAGCAGGCAAAAGAAGCTGCTGCCCCAGGGCCCGCGATTTAAAATGTCCTGGGGCTCTGGTTGCTGCTGCCGTGGCAACAGTCAGAGCCCTGGGCAGCAGGGGCCAGGCAGCGCGGATGCACTGGCTGGGGGACACTGACCCCCCCCCCCCTGCCCTTCCGCCTCAGGCCCCACTCCTTCTGGGGGCCAGAGCCAGCCCCCGTTTTGGTAAGTCCTCTGTGTTACTTTCACCCCTGACTTTGAGCCATAACAATACTTAACAAGGAGGTAATATGCTATACAGAGGTTCTGCCCTTACATACATGCGTATAATTCATTGCAATCATGGCAATTGTAGACATATATTCAAGACCAAACTTTGTCTCAGTCTAAACACTGTGACACCCATTGCACATGTTTTAAGTCACTTCCAAAATAAGAGAGGAAGTAAGGTGTTCAAACTAAACCCCCATTGGAACTCCCCTGATTTGGAGCTCCCTCCCTTGCTTCATAAACAAATTTAACAGGATAATAAATACAATTTAAGACCTTGTTTTTGCAACTCAATCTGTAGATTTAGAACCCTGCACAAACCTCTACTGAGTTCAACGAGTTCTGTGCAGGTCTCCACCTGCACTGACCTAGTTGCAGTAGAAAGACCTAGATATTACACACACCTTTTGGTTATTAGCCCTTTCCCGACAATTTATCATCTTTTCACCACTGGTACAACTCCCATGGTGGGAGTACTAGACCAGGGAAGGTGCCAGGTTGTCAGGAGTGTTTTAATCACCACATCATCTAACCCCTAATGCTGTTCTGAGTTTATTTTGTCATCCAGGAATTAGTTGATTCATTCTGTTAACAAGGTGAGATGACTAGTCATTTATATTTTATTTTGTACTGTGAATTTTAAATCATCAGATAGGAACTTTATGTTTTATTTTTAAATAAATCTAAATTGATCAAAAAAAGTGCTAATTATAGTTAAGATTTCTGGAAAGTCAGCATTTGGCTTCTGGAATCTGGGACCATCAAAGGTTCATTATATTTTTTTCAGTACACTACCACACAGGACATATAAAGAATGGCCCAGGGAAGATAGGGATGGTGAGGCCTTGTTTGACATCTGGCATTGTAGGAAGGATTCAGAATACCAAGCTATGAGCCTGTGGTTTTGTTATTTTTTTGTTTGGTTTTGAATAAGGAGCTTCGATAATTAGTGTTTCTATTTTAATACCCATACTTGAGTTACATTGTAGGTTAACATTTGGTAATTTATACTGTGTTTCTCTGGAGAGCTCTGGGTGTGTGTGTGTGTGTGTAACTCATTATTTCTCATGTGAGCATTTTTATGTCTTTATATCATCTTTACAGAGTCTTCCAAAATATGCTGGATGCAAAACTTTACAGGGATAGTGTCAATTTACATTTTGGCCTAATGGCTATGTTTTTCAAAAACAACCTTCTATAAAAAAATCTAACACCCCAAAGGTTTCTAATTCTCAAATATTCACATGAGGAATTCAGACTTTTTTAAAACAAGTGTTCTCCAGTTGACAGAAGAAGCCAGAACATGTAGTGCTGGGTAGCTTAAAGTGAAACTATGACCAAAAGCATACATTTAATTGATTTTCATTGCTCACCTTGTAAGTGCACAGAAGTCAGAACATAAACAATTTCAAACGTGAAGTGTAAGAATGAAAAGCACTTTCAATAGCGGATAAGTCAGGTCCATGATAAACAAGATGGCACTACCGACAACTGCAATTTAAAAAGCTGCACCACCACCTTTAATATACCTGACTCTACTACCGACTCTTCCTCTCACCCCAGGACAAGTACTACGAGGTTTGTTGTGCTACTATCATATCAAAGATGTACCTGTGTGTGTATATATGTAAGCAATGCAGCATAAGAAACTTTGGTCAAAGGGAAACTGAAGTGTTTCTTGAGTAAGGTAGAAAGAACAGCATATGAAGGTACAGCTAGAGGATGAGAAACACACACTTGTCAAGTAGCGCTGATCCACCACTCCAGACACAGGAAGGGGTGTGAGTCTTCCATTAAACGGGAAGCCATAAAGCGACTTTCTAAATCCCGAAGTAACCAGGAAAACACAAAAAAATGGTCGTTTCTTCGTAGGAGACACAAACCGCTAAGCAACAGGGGCTGCAACAGAAACCCCAATTACCGCCCCCGCCCGCAAGAGCAGAGGGACCCGTTCTCTCCGCAGCAGCTGGGCGAGGAGCGCCCCCGATTCAGCACAGACCCTCGGCCCGGAAACCAGCGGGGGAAGCCCTGGCCCAGGAGCGGAGCAGCTGGTGGCCTCCAAGCCTTAGGGGCGACTCACGCTCTACCCTTGCCCAAGCCGAGCCCGGCCAGCCCGGGCCCGGCCGCTGCCAGACGCGGGGGCGGCAGCACCCAGGAAAAGTTGCTCCCATGCAGTGGCCCAGCCCGGGCCAGGGAACGAGGCGGCGCGCGGCGGGGTAGGTGCCCTTCCCTGCCGGGAAACACGTGCCCGGGGGCTGCCTGGGCAGGGGGCGCTTGTACCAGGCGGGCGGGGGAGAACGCTGCAGATGCCCGGGGAAGGGAAGACGGGGGTGGCCGCACCCAGCCCTGGGGAAGGGAGGAAACGACACAACTCCCCGGGGGCCGCAGCCCCGCGCACTCACCCGCTGCCCACGGCGGCTCTGGCGTTGGCGGCTCCTCCTGCCCGCGGCCGCTGCTTTACCCGACGCTTCCCCCCCGCCTGACGCCGAGCCCGCCCCGCCCCTAGGCAGAGCCGCCTGCCCCGGCCCGGCCGCGGCTCCGCCTCCCGTCCCTCCCCGCAGAGCAGCGCCGGGAGCCAGCCGCGCACCGCGCCCGCTGGAGCAGCCTCCCCAGCGCCCGACGAGCCACTGCTCACGTCTCCCGGCGAACCCCGCCTGAGGCAGCCTGGGCTGGGAGAGACACCGGGGTGCAGGCAGGCAGCGTCCCCGCTCTGGCGATGGGGTGGGGAGTGCAGGGTGTCTGTCCCCGCGCCGGGCTGTGGGGTGGGATGTGGGGGTGCAGAATGTCCCCGCGCCGGGCGGTGGGGGGCGACAACATATGTAATAGAATAACGCCGTGTGTTGGGGCGTGAGTGGGAAGAGCTCCCGGTGCAGGGGGTATTTCACGGAGAAACCTCCTGAGCTGTCATAAGAGATCAAAGAGAAGGAGAGTCTGCTAGGGGAAAGGTGTCTTTGGGAGCATAAACCGTCTCTTGATTTTGGGAGAGTTTTTCTTCAGACAACGCCGTCTGAGAGGAGGAGGAGGAAGAGTTGGTGCAGGCAGGGTACAAGCAGCTGAGAAACTCCTTTTAAGGGGGTCTGGGGTGTTCCCAGCTAGGGAAATCCTTGAAAACATCCTGCCGTGTAGTGCTTTCCCATGCTGAATTCTCATTGTAAACAATCTGGAGAAAAGGGGGACAAACTACACTAGAGGCAAGGAAAGAACATTGCTCTCACTGGAAAAGCTCCTGGACAATGAACAGCATCAGTAACTGAAAGCAGATTTGTTATAACATGCAAAGAAGAGGAGCTAGAGATCCTCTAGATGCTGGTGCTGTTGTCATGCTTTTGGAATAAAATTAACTGTAATTTTCAAATCTTACAGAGAAAAAGTAGCTTTGGTTGGCTTTTGGGAAGCTGATAGTGAAGAAGACTGCAGTGTCCCTTCTGTAGTGGGATGATCCAGCTGTGACAAACTCAATGAGTTTATGCCCAAATAAATTTGTTAGTCTCTAAGGTGCCACAAGGACTCCTTGATGTTTTTGTCTTGGTAAAACACTCTACCAAATCCCTTTTAATAGGTTTTTTATGCAGATTTAAAATTAATACCAACAGCTAGATTGTGCAACCCTTACATTGGTGAGTACTTGCTTTCCCAAGTTTTCCTATTAAATAGAAATAATCATAAGAGTAAATGCTCACCAACATGAGTAAGGGTTAGAATCATAGAATATCAGGGTTGGAAGGGACCTCAGGAGGTCATCTAGTTCACTCCCCCCCCTGTTCAAAGCAGGACTAATCCCCAATTTTTGCCCCAGATCCCTAAATGGCCCTCTTAAGGTTTGAATGCATAACCCTGGGTTTAGCAGGCCAATGCTCAAACCACTGAGCTATCCCTCCTCCTGAAGGGTTCCACAATTTCAATGCAAATGAGTAAGTAGTTCTTTCCAAATGAGTGAATGTTGGCAGGTCTGAGATTACTTTGGGGTTTCTCGGTGGTGTATATTACATTGTATGCCAATCCACCCTAAAGATGTTATGAGGAATGTAACTTGTGCACAGTTTGCTTGTGGACCAGTTGGGTAATAAATGGGTGGGTGAAGAGAGGTGGGATCTAAATAGGAAAAGGAACTGTGCACAACTAACTCTTAAATTATTTCTAACGAGTTGCTGATCATTCAAACTAAAAGTTCAGAAATGTGTTTCTTAAATTTATCTTGGAGGCCCACTAAATGAGAATACTAGTGAATACAAATATTAATTTCGAGAGGACTGTTCACAGTAGTAAAGTTAAGCAAACGTTTAAGTGCTTGCATTCAGCATTTTTAAATTAAATGTCTTAAGCTTGACACACAAAGCAGTAAGTCAGTGAATGGCTAAGGCCTTGATCCTGCAACTGGTACATACAAGCAGACCTTTACACCTGTATGAAGCCTCCCTGAAATAATGCAGTGATCCACCTTCATGTTTGAAGGAGTGGTTTCCCCAGGAATTGAAATTACAGGGGGAGGGTGTTCGAATTTACAGGGTGGGTGTCAGGGCCGATGAGGGGTGAGACTGTAAGGGTGAAGGTGGGCTGTATGGCACCATAGTAAAAACTGAAAAAGGTTTCATGACCAGTTTCATGACCATTAGATTTAACTCATGTTTTAAAATCATCACACAAATTAAAGTTAGCTACTCAAGCCTTCTATGAAGCACTATGTCTACATCCTTCTTGGTTTCTTGTTATAATTTTGCACAACTCGGTTAATGAACTTCTGGAATGCAATGCGTTCATCTTTGGTGGCTTCTCGTGTATCCGGTACTTCCATTCCTTCAACTGATATGCTCATTAGTTCATTCACATGATCAGGCAGAGGCGACTTCTTTCAGAACACAAAATTCTATTCAATGATGAAAAAGAACGCTCAACTGTAGCTGTTGTGACTGGGAGTAGCAAGAGATGAATTCCTACTTCTTTCATCCCAGGAAACAGAGCACAAAGATCATCGGGTTGAGCCACTAGTGATGATAAAAAAGAAGTTGAAATGAAATCTTCATTCATATGTTGTATGATATTCCACTCTGTGTTCAAATTCTGTATTCTGTCCTGAGCACATGGCAGCCCCATTGCTGGTACTGCCTCACTCCACTCAACTGTCGGTGTTTTATAGGACAGGCATCTGTAAAAGCTACATAGAGGTTGAGTAGAATCTAGAAGTCGCTGTTGTAGATTTTTAAGAATCAAGTCTGTGTACTTTTTCAGTTGTCTTAACAAACACTTCTTGTCTTCTTCACTTAAGGTTTCAATATAAATGCCTTCATTAGTCAACTTCTGGACTGAAGTCTTTGCTTCTTCCAGAACTTTTTCAATGGATACCTCTCTGATTGATCCAAGTAGCTTCTGTTGCTGGACAAAGATCTACTACTGTTGTAGCAGATGCCTGAATGGCATTGTTTAATGACCCAAGTGGTTTCAACAGTAGACTTACGTGAGAGAGAAGGGCAATAGTCTTCTCTGAACGTAGTAGAAAAAGTAATCCACCAGCCTCACTACTTAGATCCATCCCATTTTGGTAGATACTTTCCAAAGCCAGTAATAACGGCTGGAGTAATTTTAAGACAACAGCCAAGGATCACTCATGAGAAAGCCAGCGGGTTTTCCCAGGTTGGACTAATTTGAACTTCAGTCCCAGTGTATCGTCTATATTTTCCAAGATATTCAGTCTTTTTGGACTCTTGCTGAAAAAAGAATATAATGAAGACATTAAATTTTTAGCTTTTTTTAAATGTCTTTTGAAGATTCTGCAGATCGTACTAGCGCTAGTTGGAGTAGATGGCCTCTGCAGTGTGTACAGGAGAGATTAGGGTTACACTTTTCTCTGAGCAAAGCTTGTACTCCACCATGTCTTCCAGAGAAGTTTGCAGTTCCATCAAATGCACAAGCAACCATCTGTTTGGGGTCCAATTGACAAGCATTTAACTCTTCTAAGATGTGGGTTGTCACAGATGCAGCTGATGTGTCTTCTATGACTTGAACATCTAGAAATGCATCTACTGGCCTACCCCTGACATCAAGATAACGTACACAATGACTTAATACTTGATGCCCATTTGCATCGGTGCATTCATCATCCATGTATGCAAATTTTTTGAATGTGGTGAGAGAGTTCTTCACTTTTTCAACTGTTGAGTCTTTCACTGTTGCACTGCATGCTTCTAGCCAGGCAGTTGAGTTTGTTGCAGAAAAATAGTGAGCATTTGCTGGTCTTGTTCAGAACCAGTGTTCAACTTCAGGATGAATAAGTGACAATGCACTTAACATTGGCCTCCAGTTTGTAATGTGTGGTATCTCTTGCTTAAATAGAAAGTAGGATGCCACAGCCATGTTTGTTTGCATGAACTGTGTTGTGTCTCCAGCATTCTTAACAGACTCATTAAGTACTTCTAAAATTGGCTTTGAAAGTGGGCTTATAAGACTTTCTGCACCAGAGGCCTGGTGTTTTGCAGCCTTTTCACATAGTTTGTCAGCACTGGCTTTGCTGATCGGTCTGACAAACCAAGCTCCTCCACTTTTACCAATTATAGCATTGGGAAGCTTTCCTTCTTCGCAAGCTTTTTTGCAAGAGGTGCACCAGGAACCATCTTTTGTAACTTCAATAAATGGGAACACTTTGACCAACAAACATTCACTGCCTTTAGGTTTTGGAGACACTGTTTCTTCAATAGGTAGCTGTATTTGTGCTTCAGGCTGGTCGGATGTAGATATACCACTTGAACCTTCAGATGACATGTTGCTATATTCTTGGTTCTTGATGCGTTCTTCACCTTGGTTAGTTTTTGAGGCCTTTGAGTGGAAAAATTGTTGTATTGTTTTTTGTCTTCTCATTTTCACTGCAACATATAAAAGAGATATGAATAAAGTAAATGTTTTGTTAGTATAATGCAAATTTAACATAAGGATAATGCAAGTTACACCAAAATACCATAACAGGTCTAGATTTCTAAAAAAAATATAAATTAGGCTTGAATAAAGACTGGGAGTGGATGTGTCATTACACAAAGTAAAACTATTTCCCCATGTTTATTCCCTCCCCCCCCCCCGCCCCTTTCCTCACACGTTCTTGTCAACTGCTGGAAATGGCCCACCTTGATTATCACTTCAGAAGGTTTTTTTTCTCTCCTGCTGGTAATAGCTCACCTTACCTGATCACTCTCCTTACAGTGTGTATGGTAACACCCATTGTTTCATGTTC